CGCTCGGGATGGAAGGGTTGGTGTTGTTCGAATCTTCGTTGTCATCACCCAGCTCACTGGTAGGTATGTGGCGCTCAATTTCATTGACCGCGTTGGCAATGTCGTCGTCTGTGTCGGACCTTTCTATGTTGATAGCATCGAGTAAGCCGACATTGCTGTTACGGTGACCACCGTCGTCCGATTCCTCAGATTCCTCAGGTAAGTTCGAAAGCCGATCATCATGGTCATCGCCGAAATTGGTACCCACACCAGGTATCATCGCAAAGAGTTCGGCTGGTAAGACGGTGCTGGGAGCCGAACTTTCTTGCTTGACTAACATATTATGTGGTAAAGTGTACAAAAAAAAAACAGGGAAACTATTTGCTTAAAGAGCGATGACGGTCACAATGGAAAGATGATTTTAAAGGCAGATATTGACCACAAGGTGGACGGATGAAGTGATGAAAGTGAGATTACCAGAACGGAAGCTGATATTGGGATTTGAGACGATTTCTGGTTATCTGGTGTGGGATGACCCAAGTTTATATAGATTATCGTTGTCGCCATCATCTCACGGTCAACGTCGACCAATTCCAAGCTCTAATTGGTGACCTGCGGTGTGGTACGTCGCACGTATACCGCCAGGTACCGATGCGCCCTCTGAAAGTCAATGCTGATCGTACACACTTCCCGAAGCAGCAACAAGTATCGCGGCATACGTCACACCTTCCATCTAAATTGGGGCTGGATAGGATTGATGTGTATCGATTTGACGATAGTTGTCCTCTCTGCAAAGTCTACAGACGAACGCCCTTGCCGTTGCCTGCCTTCCCTGCGCGCAGAGGAACGTCCTGCGGAACCGGCTACCTTAGACTCCGTCGCACATCATAAACTTCCCAGATATGATCAGCCCACTCAGGTTTCGGATGACCACTATTTGTCTTCTTGCTTTTCGATTCCTTTAGATCGCTCGCCATTATCAGTGCAGGTATCCGGTGTGGACCTATCCGGAATTATGGGGCGCGAGGACAGCGGCCACGTTCTTACAAGCCGCGTGCAATAGTAGGATGGGCGTGGGGAGCCAACAGGTCCCCATTCAACAAAATTAAAGGCTTTCAAGCCGTGCTATCCAGTCATCCAGAACACAATTTAGAGACTGACACCTCCGTGGAATTGGTCAATTTCAAACTACTCCCTCTTAATTATTCAGCTTCGAAAGTGAGTCTAGAGCCCTGCTAATGACCTCCAAGTCATCACTGTTGGAGAAGCGATCCGAGTACGAAGCAACAGTGAGTGTTTAGGAAAGCATACAAAGCATTTGGAAAGAATGAATGTACTAAAAGAGGTAGAAGAGAAGAGCTATACAAGGAAAGCATCGAAGAGATAAGCTTCACCTGATAAGACATGTATCAGAGGTAAAAAAGAGGGAATAAGCAGAGGTTACGGACCATTGATGAGATGCTATTACCTCAGGAATGAAAAGCACGTGCATGATAGACGTGAGTATAAAAGGGGAGCTGATATAGGTCCACACACCATTGTATTTTATCACATTCTACTAATGTCTAAACAAACTATTATTGCACACACAAACTAAAATCTTAACAATCACTGCTATCATGAATGCCTTGAGTTGTGAGATATGAGGAAATGAGGCAAGCAGTGCATCAATCATCAAACAAATGAAATCTCAGCCAATGGCAATCCCCTTCACGAATCGTCCTCTCAAGCCAATTGTGTTTTCCGACCTTCACGTCAAATTCATACCCCACATTACTCCATCACTCATCCTGCCTTTCATTGCTTCTCAGCCCCCTCACTCTCACCTTCACTCTCACCTTCACTCTCACCTTCACTCTCACCTTCACTCTCACTCTCACTTTCACTTTCACTCTCACTTTCACTCTCACTCTCACTCTCACCCTCACTTTCACTCTCACTCTCACTCTTACTCTCACTCTCACTCTCACTCTACTGAACCATACAACCAGCAACCTCTGTTCAGTCTACAAAAGAACCAATCAGAGTCAAAAACAACTGATCAGACAGGAGAAACAGGAAAAGTTGGTCTCTAGGTGTTTACTTCACCTTCTTTTTGGATTTCAGAAGCATTTTTGGGTTTCTGTGTCTGCACTTTATTCTCTCTCTTTACATTTTTAACAACCAAACTCATTTTGAATGACATTGTAATATTGAACAACTATACTAACAATCTGTTGTGAGATCTGAAGTAACACAGTTGATGAACACCTTCTGTAGTACTTAGCCATTGTTTTGATTTCTATCATAGCACCTTCTAATCCAGTGAAACAGCATACAGTATGAAAAGAGAGCATAATTTTTTTCTACTTTAAGACCATCAAGATTTTTTTGCCTTGAATGAGCTGGCCTTAGGATTCTTCAATCCTTATACAGCTGATCATACTTGCCACCCAAATTTGGTTTAGGTGTGTCTGAGAATACCTAATGCACTATTTTGGCCTGAATTGAACCATCAAAGCAGAATTAATCAACTTGAGAAACCACGATGTCAATTTGATCAACAGATGATAAAATACAATCTTTCTAACTTTGGGTTTTCAAAGATCTATCAATTCCACATAGGTATCACTTCCAATAAATTTGTGTTGGACAGACACATTGAACACATCTTAATAGCTCAAATATGCTTTTTTCCTTGAGGAAAACCTTGGAAGTTGGCATATGTGCATCAGACAGTTGCTTCCAATATGACCTTTGATGCATCTGTTTCATGCTATTTTGTTGGCATTGGATTAAACCCAATTGAAGAATACCTGTAGAATAGCACAGGAAGGTATAAGATACAACCTCTACATTTGGTCACCTGCCTTTGGCCCAACTTCCTTGACAAAAGCAGACACTGCAGATGCAACCAGTGGCATAGTTGTGCAAGCAAAAAATGCCAAGGCCAATGTACCTTCCAACACCTGTTTGTCATTTTCCATTATTCACTGGGCACATTCACTTTTCTCTGCCCATCCAGAGCACACCTGTACCCTACCAATATTTTTCCATTATTTAAGACTTCTGCAGACCATCTCCTTTTTTTTATTGGAGTAAGTGGGGGGAAAAAACTGTATCATTGAACTTCCCAAACAATGACATACATTATTTTTGGGAGGTTGAGGAGATTCATGGAAGTCTTCAGAATCTCATGTAATGGATGCTATACACATACAGAACCACCAGGAGCTGTGGAAGTGTTTTCAATAATATACAAGAAAGCACATTCCTCTCTGTGTATGGGGAGGAAGAGGTGTAAAGCTCAAGTTCCCAGCTAAGAACTCCAACACATGAACCAGTACTGTATTCATAAATACAATACCTGGATTATGGATACTTGTGTGGGAGACAATGAGTTCTTCCACTACTTTGGAAGGAAGAAAGTCACTTTAATCCTGACCCTCTACTCTACTATACCAGGTTTTGATTCACTGTGGTCCAACCCTCCAAGTCTTGAAGGGGGTATGAGTCATGCACCAAAGAACAAGTGCACTATAAGCAAGCAAATTGTCTTATGAATGGATTTTGAACAGATGATGTTTGAGATTTGGTGCAGACCCACAGAATCATTTATACAGATCTGTCAAGAAAGCAGATTGTCTTGATTAAAAAGATACTGAGAGATTGGAACACAAAATAGGCAGATCTATAAGCCTAGGATGATGATATTGTTGTAATGTAGACCAATCAGGAAAAGAAACATAGACACTTTGGTTTTCATACCCAAATTCCCTCTAGTTCACATGCTTGGTAAAGACCAAATTCCCCATAAGCAATACTCTTGGTGAATACTAAATTCCAGTAAACTCATGATGAGTGTTGCTGTGACTGATAATAATTCCCTGATATAGATACTTAGACATGCAATTTGTCCATATTTCTCATCAAGGGGTGCTAACCCCACACTTTTACTCCCTATGATACCTGGAGGCAGAGATCAACTCAATCCCATCCTATTTTTTGTGAGAGTTTTGGGGATTTGTAGGTGACACTCACCAAGTCTACAGAAAATATTCCCAACATGGGGAGCATACTTCTTTCCAAGTTTCTCTCCAAGAAAAATCCTTTCTTTGACCCAGCTTTGTGTTAGACTTTAGGTAAAAATCTGTATTACATGTTTTTATCTGTTATGTATAACTTCTCTGAAACACCATGGAATGTACAGGACTCATACAATGTAGATCTCACTATTATAAACCTAATCTTTTTTACTCATTGAGATACTGACAGGTGCAACACACCACAAAGAATTCCTCTCCTCATCAATCATTTCTCTCTTAACTTCTTTGATTGGTCAGGTGAGAGAGTTCCTTGTGGTGTGGAGTGTAGCAGAAGGTCATGGTGCTTAAATCACTAACTACTGCTGTCTGTCACTTTGGCCCCAGAGTATGCATCCCTGAGGCATTAGGCCCAGTCAGACCACTGAGAGGTACTCACCAGATACTGGTGAGCATGTCTGGCAGGCAAAAATTTGGGGAAAAGGGAAAAAAAAAAAAAGTGAGTTTGTGTGGAAATGTGTATGCTCCCCATGTGAGGCACATTTTCTGTGGACTCAGTGACTGCCAATTTTATGAGTGGTGACACCATCATATTACAGGCCTCATGGCTGGTACTACACTAGTTGTTCTTAACCTAACCAAGCCCATATGGGTGAGGAAAGCTTGCCTGAAAGGGACTTATAGGTTATCCCACCTCCAACTGGAAGCTCCTGCTTAAAATCTACAGGATCACTAATTCTTCAGCGCACATTTTTCCCACTAGGAAAGAAGCATCCATCCAGATACCACTAGGAAACCAGCCTTCATCCCAAGAAATGATGGGCTCTTAGGGGTTTTCCACAAGTGTTGAGGTTTTTAAACCCTATTGGATATAACATCTGTCAAGAGAATGTGTATGTAAAAGTTTGGCTCCTTCTGCAGTGAAATATTAGAAGCTCTGTTATGGAGCAAACTGAGGACAGGTGTGCTTGATTTTTTGAAATGAGGTTAGAAAAGAATTGAATAGACCAAGATTTGAGCCTGGGACCCCAGTATGTAAGCTGAGAAACAATGTCAATGTGATACCTTAACCACTAGGCTATCCAGTCTGTATCCAGAGTGATGGGAATGGGTAGGAGGTAGCACAACCTAAGCATAGGTGCGGATCACTTTAACATGGCACAGATTATAAGGATATGACCACTCATCAAAAGTCAGTTGTCTATACAATGGTCCTTGATAGTTTAGTTGAATAGATGATTTAAAATCATATCAAGGAATTTGAAGTTAAATGTTCTAAAGGAATAATTTGAGCAGATTCATTGGATAAATCAAAAACCACAAGAAAAATAAAAGAAATAGGAATTGATAAACAGCATGCTCAAACACTTTGATTATATTACATTTTTAGTAAGATGACAGTCTATAAGAGAGAATTCCAATAAACCAATCATTATTGTCTCTTGCCTTGTCTTGTTCAAGCTGTAGCCCATATGGCAGATTGAGAGTGAATTTGTGTTATAGAATTTCACCATAATGAGCTGATAGACATGCATGTATAGTGAAAGCTAGATCGAAATAGGAAGAAAAAAGTTTTAGTTAGCTATATACTGGCCAACAAAGTCTTATAATGCACATGATTTCTCATTGACAAGAGCTCCTTCAGCTCCTTCCCAACATCTAAGGAGATGTAGGAAAATAAAACACAACAGAAGACAAGATCTGAGCTTGCACCACCAACATATTTCCATCACACCTGGGCATGCTATGTTGAGTAGCATTCCCAGTGTGATGCAATGAGTTAAAAAGGGCAAATGAAATCACAGCCAACCATGCTATGTTGGGTAGCAGGTCTGGATGTGATGTAAACATGTTAAAGGGGTTGGATATAATTTAACACATCTTTATTGTTTGAAGTTAACTTTCCACAGCTCTGTCCAGTTTTTTTTTCTATGAGAACTAGGTGATCTAGCTTGAGAATTAGATGCTCTAACTAACAAAATGTGAATCATTTGGTTTTCCTTGCAGATAAATCATGAAATGCCTTTGTCCTTGAATCCACCCAAAAATAATGACAAAGGCATTGACTCATTTACCCATCAGAGAACACAAATGGTTCATGTAGTGTAAATGGTCAGAATATATACTATTTGTTGTTATAAATCTTTCCAAGACATGTGAACCTTTTGGTGTGATTTGAGATACACCTCTTTCTTTAAATGAAGGATTTGATAAATTTGCAGCATTTTTTATTGATCTTGCATTCATAAAAGGTTGAAAAAGGGTTTTAGCTATCTCTTGATTCATGGTTTTTTTTTTCTTTTTTACTTTCAATTTCTTTCATTTTTTTTTTTTTTTATAGGTTGTAGTGAGTGGTTTGACAAAAACAAAAACACAGAAAGAAATGAACCCATGACTGTAGCTCCGAGTGGCTACTATAGGTTCCTGCTACAGCCCCACATCAAATGGCATGTTAGTCAATGCAAATAATTAATAAGGAATAAATGATAAAAAAAAAAGCAAAGAAGATAGGATGAAATAAGATAAAAATAACCTAAAAAAATAAAAAATGAATTTCAAACAGATATAAAATCAAATAAAATACACAAAAATGAATACAAAAAAAATGAACCACCTTCTCCCAAAGATGGAGAAAGAGGTGAACGATTGAGAATTTTCCCTTCCAGGACAATGGATGTAGGGACTAATAACTCTCTTTTCTTTCCCCTGAATTATGTTGGAGAAAAGTTCAATTGAAAGTCATTGGGTTGGTTGTTGATTGAAGGTTGAAAAAGATTTAAGGGGGAATGTACCAAGATGTTTCAGAAACTACTTTGGAAGCCATCCTATCAAGCAGCTTTCCTTTACTTTCATGCACTCTTGCAAGACTCAGTGTACTTTATCCTGCATGGAAGACCTCCAAAAGAGCTGGATGGTCTGTAGGTTAGTATTTTTGCAGTCTGATCTGTAGGCCATGCAGACTATTCATTCCCCCCCTAGCTAGTAGGGGGATAAAATGCAGATCTCTGCTCTTGATGTACTAAAGAAAGTGTGGGTGAAATTTTGGTGAGGGTACAGGTGTACTCTGGGTGGCCTAAGAGAGGTAAATGTGTCAAGCTACAGCTCCTGTGCGCGCTTTGTGTGTCTATGCTTCCAACCTGTGTGTGACTTGTCCACAAGAAATCTTTGCAGTTTCTCTCTTTTCTTGTCTGGAGCTGGATGTATGATGGATTTCTCTCTCATCCATCATCTCATCTGATCAACCACTCCACACCTTCACCTTCCCTGTATCACGGTGTGTTCTGGTTGTGTGCTTCAGGTTTGTCTTTCTCTTCCTTTCATCAGCATCTGTCATGTGAAATGCATCCATCATCTCATCTGATCAACCATTCCACACCTTCACCTTCGCTGTCTCACGGTGTGTCCTGGTTGCGCACTCCAGATTCGTGAGAGAATGGGCCTTGTGACTGGCTCTTATCAAGGACGTGTTGCACCGTAAGGCCAGCAATGTTAGCATAAAAAGGTGCAGTGACAAATTCCAACTCCCTTCTAGGATCATTCAGCAGGAAACTATCCAATAATATAGAGATTGGAACTATGTCCTTCCTTATCTTTAGTTGAGTATTGGGTAAGGAGATTGTGCACGTTGCCAATCTTTGTCACAAATTCAATCAAGGATTGACCTGGTTTGAAACAAGCCATGGCAATTTTGATGATGGTGGATGCCACTAGTACGTCACCGCTACTGCCGTGAGCTTTTAGCCAGCTTGTTGTAAGCAACCTTGGGTGTGTCAGTTACTTGAATAAAAGCATCATGCGTCATGTCTGATGAACCAACAATGAGCTCCCTAACACAACCCTGTTGTCATTTATACAAGACAAGTTTGGCAGCATCAGTCGGGGCTGTGTTCCAGATAAGGAATTGCTCAGGTCCTCAAGTCTGTGAAGCCCAGCACAGCCGCTTGTTCCAGTTTGGGAATGTGCCATGTTTGAGCTCTTGTAGATCAACCCTCTCTCCTGTATTAGAAGTTAAAGTGAACATGTCAGAGGGCGGAGAAGGAGAGTGGTGTTTAGCAAAATGTCCGTAGAGTGAAAAATCTCAGGAATTTGGTTTCATTGGAGATGCAGCTATAGTAGCAGCCGTGTCGGATCCATCAATTGATCAAGAAGTGAGATTCTTAGAAGCAAAGGTATTACTGTCATCCATGGTGTGAGAACTAGGATAATTGGCGGAGTTTTTTTCTGTTGCGACATATTGAAGTTGACTTAGTTACTCGGAAAATCTGAAAAAATTGTAAAGGGAATACGTAAAGGGTAGCGCTTAAACGGACAATAACTTATGAGTTTGGCACAGTAAACAAGTGCACGATCGAGTTAGTCAAACTTTTCATGAGGGAAAGAATTTTTGAGCTGATTAGGTTCAAAAACTCCTGCGCTGAACCCATAGGAATTATTTATACCGCAAACAGAGAATGCTAGGAGTTGATTAATGACTTGTGAGATGACTGTGGATCATTAAGCTAACCAGAAAACCAATGAATGTTATTGCTTGTAAGTCTTCTGTAAGAGAAAGTGAAATGAAATCGATAATAAGAAGAACCTTCCCTTCAGTCAAACAAGACCAAAATTCTTTACATTTGTTATACTCTTGGTAAGAGACCCAATTCCAGGAAACTCATTCAGAGCATCTCTTCAATATTCTCTGGGCACAAAAACAGTCAAGTTCGTACAATAATTCACCAACAACAACAAATGAGGAAAAGAAGACTTACACATTCTAATTTACAATAAGGAATATATACATATACATATATATATATATATATATAGGACGTACACAAAAGTGGCGAATAATGTATAAGTCCATCAAGCCTAGATTAGTTTATTTCAGAAAAGGTACAACAGTCACACATGAACTCAAGCACAGTAGGTTTATTCCTGGATACGCGCTCAAGTCATCAGACTCATTTCCAATGGGAGAAGAAAAACTCACTCATCAAACCCCTCAGGGTTTATTCCCGCAAAAGAGAAACTTTTTAAGTACACAGACTTATTTACAGATACAAAGAGACACACGCCTTACATCAAGCACTAAGATGCCTATTCCCAACTTCTAGCAACTAAAGTGCTAATTCCCAAAGAGAGCCTTAAAACACTTGACAGACTATCATCACAGCATATAGAACATCCAACAGTCCAGGATTCAAATGTTTCACTAATGAAAAGTCACATTTTATGTACCCACTATGACCTGGTTTCTAAGGAACGTACTTATACCTCATGGAACCTTTATTCACTTTTTTGTACCCTTAACGTTGTAGTACAATACCGAGCCTACCCACTCTATCATTTCAACGACTAAGAACCTGCGACAAGAGATGCAAGTAAAGTCTACATAGCCTCTCTCTTTGAAAGACACATCATTCATGGGTTTCAATTGTACTCAGACGTCCTTCATCTAATTTGTTTCTACATTACCCACCACCTAGCTATCCTTAGCTGTCCCCCTCACCAATCACACAAAACAGAACAACGCATTGGGCGGGCAAAAAAAAAAGAAAAAAGAAAAATTGAAAACTTGATGAAAAGAAAAAGGAAGCTAAACCGTTTCGAACAGAAAGAGTACTACAAAGTCTTCAAAATGATGGTACAACATCATGGGTGGAACCACGCCTACAAAATGTACAAAGTCACAGGACAAATGCGTTTGAATATCAGTATCCTCGCCATTGCGGCTGCTGCTGTTGCCGCGGATACATCGTATTGTTTTGTGTAGGCATTCCAGTCTGCTGTGGCATCACGTAACCTCCCGGAGCGAATCCGGTTGGTTGAGGTTGAAGCGGCTGCATCATTCCAGCAGGTTGAGGGGGCATGAACTGTTGAGCAAATGTATTGTTGGGCATCATGCCCATCGAACCGCCAACTGCACAAGCAATTGAACAAATTTCCGTTGGCCTTGTCAGATCTGCGAAACAACCAAAGCCCCCCCCCCAAGCAAAAAAAGCAAAACTAAAGCATGCGACTTACCAGGTTGTGAAGAGCGGAGAGCGTTATATTTGTTGGGGTCTTGAGGACCAGTCTCTCCGTTTTTCGAACCGAACTGTCCAGT